ACACATAAATTTTATATATATATATATATATATATATATATATTTTGAACAATAAAAAAAAAAAAAATTTTCAGACACACTGGATTGTATATTAATATTCTTTCGTTTTTATTATTATTTCATTTAGATTCCTTGACTAGTTTTGACTATTATTTATTTATTTATATATATATATATATATATATATATATATATATATATATATATATATATATATAATAGTAAGGTAATGAAAGGCTTGGTAATCCATGTGGATAATTCCAAAAAGGATGTAATCCCGAGATTTCAATGTAACACCAGAGCAAATAATAATTAAATAATTAAAACAGAGACAACCTTAAGGTTCCATGACTATAATTTATTTCCCCTGAAAATATATTTTTCCTGGTTCATGAGGTCACATCATGGAACCTTAAGGTTGTCTCTTTCTTAATTATTTAATTTATATATATATATATATATATATTTCAAGTGTATATATATTTAAGTATGTATTTTCTGCAATGGAACAGTCACTTTATTTATAGCAGGTGTTAACAGGTACACATATCTAACAAAAGCGGATATGAGATATAAACAAATATTTATACACTTTGCTAATTCATGTGAACCAAGCACAAATATGTTTACATCTGTCATATATATATATGTGTGTGTGTGTGTGTGTGTGTATCAGTATATGATAGGTATGTATGAGTATCATGTAGTTTTAGACAATAGATTAAAAGTGTGGTGTTTTAATTCTTTTTACTAACAAACTATTTGTTTTTATTTTTAGTAAAAAAAAAAATGAACATGATTAGTCTGATAAAATTTGTCATCTCAGAATGTTCTGCTTTGTCTTTTATTTTTTCCTCTTCTCTGATTCACCATTTCCACTGCAGTTTTTATTTGTTTTTTTTTTTTCTATGTCTGGAGCTGTCCAACACTGACCACCCACAAAGAGATTGATAATCGCACATTGTATAATCTCAATATCTCTATCCATTAAATGTAAATACTACCTTTATATATATATATATATATATATAATTTTAAATAAAAAAAAATTTAAATAAAAACAGACCACTTTAAGGTTCCATGAAATAAATTATTTCACCACAGCCCTTTTAAAGGACTGCGAATCATCAGACTTTACTTCCAATTAAATTATTTGCTCTGGATTTACATTGAGCTCTCTGGATTTTATCCTCCTTAGGTTTACCCATACGGATTACCTAGTTTTTCATAAACTGATATATATATATATATATGTGTGTGTGTGCGTGTGCGTGCATGCAGGCTTCATCAGACAAGTTAATTTTGTTTAGAATTTTGTTAGGTTTTTCTTGAAAAGTACCAAAGGGTGACTGCTGCCCAAATATCACAACTCTCTCTCTCTCTCTCTCTCTCTCTCTATATATATATATATATATATATATATATATATATATTCACACACAAACATACATGTTTTGTAGAACAAGATTGATAGGCTTTTTTGTTTATGTATTTGTTTACTTGATACATGTATTATAGAGAGATTGCTATCCAAAGTCATGCCTCGCTCTTTCTCTACCCCCTCCTCCATATAAATAAATGTGTCCGTGCTTGCACAAGGCTTTGCTGGGACATCTCAGCCCAATTCACCTTTCAAAGTCCAACATCATATTTTTAAGATTCTATCTTCTTTCATTCCAAGAACTTAAAATTTTCTGTACCCCACCACACAAATATATATATATATATATATATATATATATATATATATATATATATATACACACTTAATGCATAGCACTATCAGTCATGATACCAAACTGATTTCTATGTCCACACTATTTTCATCTGCAAATGTTCCCTCTCTGATATTGAGCACTCTTCACTCATAATTAGAGTCAATTTTAAACTATACATCTTTCTCTCTCTCTCTCTCTCTCTATATATATATATATATATATATATATATATATATATGATGTTTCTGGGTAGATTTCTGCACCCCTCCATGCAAATGCAGTTGTTTGTTTGGAGATATATGCAACTAGAAATATTTACCTGTTTTGTTCAAGAATATATTGAAGCTGGAAATTCCAGGTGAACGTAAACTATATATATTTACGCTAATTTCCGTATCTGCATCCACATGACTAAGACTTTCATACCCACATGTTCAAGAATTATGTAACACAGTTCTACTTCTTGCAAACATATAAACGTATGCACAAAGCTGTAATAATTACATGCACAACTGTCTTTTGCCGTCTGTTATAAGCTTAAATACATGCTATCATGCTTACTTATGCAGGCTTTTCTTTACCGTCACTGAAGACCATAGATAAAATACCCCCCTACACACACAATTACATAAATAGTATGTATGCTTTATGTATTGAATGGTTAATGATACATAATGTAAAAAGATATAAACAGTTTGTGATAATTTGGACATAGGAATCAACACTGACTGGGGCTTGGCAATTTCATACCTACAACAATCATCAGACTATATCCCAGATATTGAACAGTGTTCTGCCATAAATACACCAAATTTTACACTATGAATATATATAAGCAAAGTTAACAGTATATTTGACCAGGTTGACTTAGATAGATATGAACAGACTGAGATAGACAATATGACAACAGAATGTGATAGGTATAAAACCACTTTGACAGATGCGCACACACACGCACACATATGAAAGCGTAATTAACATTATAGATAGATAAATTTGAACATGCTGAGATAGACAATAAGAATATGATAGGTATGAACAGACTTAGATGTGTGCATATACACAAACATAAATACACACACACACACACACACACACACACACACACGCATATATATATATAAGCTGATAACTAAATTTGAATAGGCTGACATAGATATGAAGAGGCTGAAATAAATATAAACTTACTGAGATAAACAATAACATAATGTGATAGATTTGAACAGATTTAGACAGATGTGTTCATATATATATATATATATATATATATATAAGCAGAGTTAACAGTATACGTAGATAAATTTTAATAGATTGTCTTTAGATAGATTGATCAATATGGACAGACTGAGAAAGATTTCAACAAGTTGATTTATTATATAGATAGGCAGTAAGATTACAGAATGTGATATATATAGATATACACACACACACACACATATATATATGTATGTGTATTATATATATGTGTGTGTTATATTTATATATATATATATATGTGTGTGTGTATTATATGTGTGTGTATGTGTGTTGTATATATGTATGTGTGTGGGTGTGTGTGTGATTTATATATATATTATTTATATATGTGTCTGAGGATCGCGAAAGTGTGAAACTCAAAGTTACAAACTCACATCCATACAATTAATATTATATATTTTGTGTGTGTATATATATATATATATATATATATATATATATATATATATATATATATACACACATACATATATATATTCCCTGCTGGTTTCTTCCAATTTAAAATTCTTGTTATCTATCTTCTGTCTCTCTCTCTCTCTCTCTCCATATATATATATATATATATATATATATATTATGAAATGGACAAAATCCGACAATTATTTTAAGACATTTTTATGTTTATACATTCTTTTTATAGATATAAATATTTAAGTATTTATTATAAACAGAGCATTTAATTAAATATTTGTATCTATAAAAAGAATGTATAAACATAAAAATGTCTTATATATATGCACAGAAAGAGTGAGATATAAACAGACTGAGATAGATAGGAATAGATTTGACATTCTTCTTATCTATCTATATACATACATATATATATATATATATATATATATAAATAGTTATACTCATTTGGAAAAAACTTAGGTATTTTAGCTTGTAATTGAACACACCAATACCCAAGGGAAAATAAGGGATAAAAAAGAAAGAACATGAGGTGAAAACAATCATCCAGAATCCAAACTCAGGGTCCAAAGAAAAAAAAAAACTCCAAAATATATATATATATATATATACGTGCAGAAAAGGTAAGATACATATATATATATATATATATATATATAAAACAGACTGAGATAGATAGGAAGAGATTTAAATTGGGAGAAACCAGAGGAGACAGATACAAAAAGACAGTGATTAATACATAGAGATTACATACGGCTATACATGTCCCCACTGTGTATGAATGCATGTGGGCAACGGGTCATTTTTTTTTTTTGGCTTATCTTTCCTCTTTGACTTGTCTTTTAATTGTATCTTCAATTTTTCTCTTTTTGATTCTTTTTCTCATTTTTCATTCTCATCTTTTCCTCTTCCTTTCTTTCTTCATTCCTCACCTCCTTTTCCTTCCTTTCTTCTCAATCCTTTTTTACATTTGTCTCTCATTCTCATTTCGCCCCTCTCTCTCCTTATACATTTATCTCTCACTTCAAGACCCTCTTATTCATCTCACTTTTAATCTGTATACACTCAATCATTCTTCTCTTCAATTTAAATAGCAAGTATCACAAGGTATTTAATATATATGCCTCATGTATGTCAATATATGTTTCATTTGTATTCATGTGTTCATCTGTATAGATGCCTCGCTAACACACTCCTGCTGAGTCATGACCTGTTAAGTATTTATATAATATATAT